TCATGCAGCTAATGAATTAACATAGTCATTTGTGGGCCAAACCCCAACCCCACCTTCCTTATAAATCTTTCTCTCCATTTTTCACTATTTTGTGACTGTCCATGTAGTTTTGTAAGTGAGGCTGCAAAAGGGATGCCGACCTATCAGAGTTTGGTACAGTCTGTTGCTGTCAATGAGCCTGCAAAAAAAGTGCTGATTGTAATTGCTGGCTGGCTGCAATTATATAAGTCATATAGAGAAGCAAATTAAACGCCAGTAGACCCTCTCATCCCACCATGCACCTGATAGTCCGCTTTTATTTATTGTATCTGTACTGGAGAATGATCTTAAGGCCTATTTCACATTATAGGTAATGCATCTATTTTCCACCTCCAAATTTGACTGCAAAAATTATTATGAAAAGGTTTTCTTATAATAAGTACTCGTTTGGTTCATCCGAGCAACGGATTCAATAAGGGATTTGGCTTACAAAATTCTATTGGAGAGGCAATGCAAAGAGGGATTTCAGAAACTTTACCCATAATGTCCAAGCACAATTCTCTAGTGAAACTTTACTCGGCGAGAGATTGTACTAGATAAACGACGTCATACGAGTGCGGCCCAATGTTTGATTGAACATTCTTATTCTCAATATGCAATGAGTAATTGCCTCACATGTAGCTTTACCTCACACTTTATTTGTGACAATAGTGTCTTTTATTTTGTTTTGTCATGGTGAGATTTTTTTACTGTATAGAGGTACAATTTGTCCCCTCCCCTCCCCTTTGTTTTGAAGAGCAGCAGACTCGTTTTGCGGAGTATGAGAACTCGCAACGGATAGTGATAAGCTCTATATCTGAAAATTTTGAATGGTCAAATAGCCTCATGATGCATAGTCATTACAATAGCCTCCTTAGATCACGTATCCATGCAAAGATTAGCAATTTAAAGCAAGATGAGCTTTGGAATTGCTCTGGGCAGTATGGCATTACTCTATTTTTTCCCCCACGAAGTTCACGTGCTATGCACACACAAACGGCGATAGAAGCCTGAGGATTTGTCTATCATAACGATCCAACCCATAGTTAAAAAGGGATCATGGCCTGATGGGTCGGACAGAAGCAAATTCAAAGTCTAGATTGTTGAAGCAAAAAATTTTGAAATCCAAGTTAGAACGAAGAAGTTAAGAGTTGCTTAAAAAAATTAGAAAAATTAAAAAAAACCATTAAATCTCACCCATTAGAGATGTAAAAAAAATTCTGGGCCTACTCAAGTTCAAAGATCCAAATTCAATTATGAAAGGGCTCATAACCCCTATACGAGCACTTCTACCATGCTATATAGTATTGGTGCTTTAATGTACAACTTGAAGTTGTACCATAACATTAAATGTATAAGTTTAGGTTGTACCATAAAGGAATTTGTACCATTATGTTATGGTACAACTTTACAACTTGAAGTTGTACCATCACATAAAAGTACAAGTTCAAGTTGTACCATAAAAGAATTTGTACAAAAAGTATAGGTACAATCTAAAGTTGTACCATAACGTTAAAGGTACAACTTCAAGTTGTACCATAAAGGCAAAAACCTATAGCACCAATGCTATATAGTATTGTAAAATTCCTCCCCCTATACACCCTGTCCTGGTCTCCTGGACCTTCTTTAGTGTCGGCCAATATTTTTAATCAGTATATATGTTCGATGCACGTCTCTATGGGTGGGCCTCCTGGCCCATTTAGATGCAACTAACCGGTAAGCTTGAATGGTTCAGAAGGGATGGACTGGGGTTGACTTATGGTACGTCAACGGCCCATGTCAATGTTGACCCAGGCCAAATGACGAGTTAGTACATATATAGGAGGGTCGGGACTCTAAAACCACGGTTAACATCATCAAGAAAATCAAATCACAAGAATCAAAGAAACAAGCATCATTAAAATCAACCGACAAGCTAACAGACAACATTTTATACTATTTTGGTTGCACTACAAGTGGCAGATGAAGGTCAAAAGAGGATGGTTCCAGTGACATATTATTTGGAAACGTACATTACTAAAATTTATATGTACATAATTAAGTACAAGTGTATGCATGAAGTTCAAATCTTAATTATATCATGCATTAATTGAATCACACTAAAAATTGAACTACATACATGTAACATGTGTCTTTGATTTGGTTTTACATGAGTGTTCTGTAGTAAGTAAATAGAATCTATAATTGTTAAAATTTCAGTTTCCTAATTCCTATTTACTTTCGAATTTTCACTTTTTAACCAAACGTAGCTCTTAAGTCCTCTCCTGGCGAACAATGGTTGTGACAAAACTCACAAAAGAATCTGGAAGAAATTTCTGCTTGTTAAATTTGCATTGTTGCTTGTCTCGTTAAGTGTTGAAAGTGCATTTTTCGCAATGTAGTACATGATGAACACACTTTAAAGTCGAACAATTAACGAATTCATTATGATTTGTTTTGTAGGATATATTTAAAATGAGACATACTTGACAATTAATTTGAACGATGAGTGTGTTTTAGAAGATTTTCAAAATCTGAAAATAGATCGTGGTTCATTTGTAAACATTATCGAAATTTACATCATATTTTTTTCATATCGAATGAGTACTCTCATATTCATGATTGCCTCCTCCTTTCTAGTCCAAGCGTGATGCCTCCCTTTGACTTTCTTTGCAGCACATCACTATTCCTATTCCTACAACTGCATGCTGCTGCTCACTTCCGCTCACTGTTTCCCTTTCTGCCTCCATGGATGATGATGCAATTTGGAGACTGCCCAGACCAGAGCAGACCAGCCACCCCCCACAAATGAAAGAACAAATTAAATGTACCCTTTACCAAAACAACATACATTTAAAAAAAAAAAAACCCACCTCTCTTGGGGAAACATGGTAACCAAGTTGCTAGCTTTTGACTATTAGAGTCGTCATAGGATTCCCCTTTGCTGCTATTCCTCTTTCTATATGGTCGACGCAGTGAGGTACAAAAGATCACATGCAAGAGAGAACACTGATGATGACGAGAGCTATAATAGTGTTCTCTAGTAGTACTGCTGCTATAGGATAAATGCAATTCTTATCTCCCTTTTGGCCTACTATATGTTGAAGAAGAGACAGCAAGCAAGATAGGAACAATGTTGCGACAAATTTTTTTTCTATAGCTTAGAGAGCTTCCTTGTCCCTATCTCCTTCTCTTCAGCTAGCTAGCTGCTTCTTCCTGCTCTATCTGGGTCTCTGCTTCAACCCTTTACATAAACGTACGTACGTACATACACAAACACATCCCCTACTATTATTCACTATTTCCTCATTCTAGTTTGTGACCATTTGTTAGTCCCTCTCTAAACAAGCATCATTTTTGCTTGCTGCCCATCTATTGCTTCTTTATCAGATGGCGTTTGCTGTACCTTGGTAGCCAAGGAAAGTGAACTCGAGTCATCATGTACTAATTCATTAACCGCCTCGATCGATCGATCAGTCCTCGTCTAAGTTGTCATTTTCATGTTTAGGGAAGTGGTGGTGGTGGTGGTGGTGGAAGATGGGATTGGCCGCCAGGTTGGGTAAAAAGTAAAAGTCTCCTCTAGCGGAATATCCCTTCAATTGATAGATTGTGCTGTAGCTTTTCTTGTTTACTTTACTGATGATTTGCTAGAGGCCGTCAAGGCTGATGTATATAAAAGTAACCAATCATGCCAAATTTTGTGGGGGGGAGGTTTATGATGGTAATTATCCTTGATTGGATTTCTTAAGTGCCTTCTACGTTAGGGAAAGGCCAGAGTCGATGTTTATGGCTGCAGCAAACATATATATATATATGTGCCTGCCAAATGTAGTACTGCTGCTGCTTCTTTTTGGCTAATTACTTCCCAGCAAAGTATTCATCAGTGTAACATCATGATGATGAAAAAAAAACCCTGCCTAGATAGATAGCTATCATGATACCCTCTACTCCAAGGAAAGGAAATGCAATCCGGCTATGATAATCACGACCCATTTGCGAGAACCATTTCACAAGCGCTCAGTATCGTTGGATCAGACACTGGCACTTGGCAATCGCATACGCGCGATGGCAATTCTGTAAGGAAAATGTCATTGAGTCGAATATCCAATGATTGCGTAACGCTGGGTCCCCCAAATCTAACAACGTGGAACACCTGTGAGATGGTGGTTCTCGCGTGGAAGAACGGGTTGTGAGCACGATAACAAAATTGAAGGAAGTGAATCCGTCAGGAAAGTAGTAGGATAGAATTAGATTGGAGGCATGAATGATTCACTCTCCTTAAGAGTTTTATTTGCCCTCACTACCAATTGCTGGTAGGATCGAGCGAACCACCCGTAGAAGCCCTTTCAATTCAAAATCTGGAAAGCAGCAATCTTACAAACTTCTGTGTCTATGAAATAGATAAGAAGGAAAACGGGAAGAAGAAGAAGAAGAATTCTCTCGTATTAAAAGAATTATGACAGTCATTTATTTATACTTGTGAAAATGGGAAGTTACGCCCCCGAAGAGACACATCCTTTTACAAGAAAATGTAGTTAACTTTCCCGAAAAGACACATACTTTCACGGGAAAAAAAGGTATCTTTCTATAAGGATACTTCTTTTTACAATATTCAAACTTTAATTAATCAATTAATTAATTGAGACAAAATTTAATTACATAAACTGATAAAAGACTCAATTCTTGTAATTTCCGCCTCACATGATCAATGTGGTATTACAATTCTATCAACTAATTCGAACATAATCCATAGAAGCGCACACACAATACTGCTTCGTCAACCGAAATGGCAGCAGACATTAATGGCCCGAAAAGCCAACAACAAGCCCAGAGTCATATAGGGTTGTATATAATTCGCACAACTGTACGTTCCCATATAACTGGCTTACACATATAATGAAGCAAATTAATCGCCCATTCCTTTGCAAACATTAATGATCAACAGAGACATGAGACCAAACTTGGTACGTAGTACGTACTTGTCATTATTAACTTAATTAAACTAGCAGTAAATAATGACATAATAACATATATAGAGTTTATATTATGCTGATCATCATGTCTTAAGATATGTTTACTATTTACATGAACTTTTCTAGATGATCAATAAAAATGGCTGACTTACTTACTTCGTTGTATTTAAATATATCGTATAGTAATATTGAGACCGATCGATCAACCTTCTCATTTCCACAGATCGATTTGACTGCTACCAGTAGTAGTAGTAGTAGGGCTGGACGTCGACGGCGGCGCCGTGGTGGCATTGTCAACATTCTCGGCGGCGGTGGCCGGCGGCTGTAGTTGATGATGATCATCATGGCTGAGTTGGGAAGCGACGAACTTATCAAGCACTCTCCAATCCGTCACCGATTCCACTCCAGCTCCTCCACCTTGCTGCTGCTCCTGATGAACATGAAGATGATGATCACCACCGCCGCCGTCCATCCCAAAGATTAATGACCTCAAGCTCTGGCGGTGATGGTGATCCAGCGAGGGAGCAGGTCGCAACGTGTTCATGTCTAGACCGTAGGATGACGGTGGCGGCGGCGGCGATGACGACGTGGACGGTGGAGTTTGGAGGAGAGGCTTGGGGCTTTGAAGAAGCGGGAGCTGGAGGAAGTAAGTGTTGGGATCGTGTGGGAGCGTTGGGAGGAAGAGGAGGTCGTTGGCGAACTGCTCTTTCTTGCAATGAGTGGCGGTGGTCGGAAAATGATGATCCGGCGGTGGCGGTGGCTGGGAGATGGAGCTTTGTTGGTTGGGGGAGTCCAGCGGTTCTTGGGTGAATGAGGAGGAGACTTGGTCGTCGTACCAGTAAAGTGAGGAGGAGGAGTCGTGGTCGTTCATTTTTCTCACCGTTGTTATCTTCTTCTTGAACACCCGACATACAACCCATCCTTCTTCCTGTAATAGTTCCATATATATACATGCATTGTACAAAACCAATCAACAAGCTTTTGATTGAATTTTACTTTATTGATTCAAACAACGAAACAGAACTACTCTCGTTGCAAAAAGTTTCGACTCGCTTGCATTCACAATAAGTTGAGAGTTAGATATTATTTGTTGTCAATGCTACTACTCGAGTTGTTAGAACATCTTGTATCATTCGGGACCTAATATTGATGGAATGCTAGGGTTGATCCACTATTTGGATCGACTTAGTGACAAAACGTGATTAAATATGAGTGAGTAAACTGTCATTTGATATTGATGTAGTAAACTCATCAGCAAGTGATTAATTAAGTCAGGAAAAAAAATCATAGGCAAGTTCCTGGACCGCCAGATAAAAATGTGTTACCACTATTCTCTTCTAGTTTGATTATTGGAGTGGATAGGATCGGTTTAATTTATAGTAGAATTGGAATGAGTGCTATCATAGTTAGATAAAAACAAATTTGGTCACAACCCTATCGAAGAACATAATTCAATTTGTGGCGAGAGTTGATTATAGTTGAATGAACCAGCGTGACATTCCAGTTGCCGCATGTTTTCTTTGTTAGAATCCCATGTTTTTTTTTTTTTGTCTTAGGGTAAGAAGTAGTTTAATTTAATGATAGGAAGGAATCCATCGGGAATTATAGGCAGTTTAATTAGTTAAGAAAAAAAAACACATGCACACACTTGCACTTGCCTGGGGAGCGGCGTTCTCGTCGGTCTCGAGGCGGTACTCGTGCATGATCCAGTCCGACTTCTGCCCGTTCGGAGCACGACCCTTGTAGAAAACAAGGGTCTTCCGCATCCCGATCAGCTCGTTCTTCGTGTAAATCGCCTTGTCCCTCCCCGTCGCCTTCCAGAACCCTGCCGTCGTCGCCCTGTTGGTCCTCGTCCCCGTCGGGTACTTCTTGTCCTTGTGGCTGAAGAAATACCACTCGCTCTGCTCCTCGCTCCCTATTCTACACAGCTCTGCATGGCAAAAAAACCATTGAGTTTACACAGCCGTGGTCAGAGGTGGGTTTCAAGTTTTTGTAAGTTGGTAAATTACCTTGAAGGTCCCATGGCTCGATCTTGTAAAGATCGACGTCTCTGATGACGTCAAGGTCGATCCTCCGGCAGTTGATTTTCTTCCTGAGGTAGTAGTCCACCAGCTCTTCATCCGTCGGATGGAACCGGAACCCTGGAGGAACTGCGCAAAACCTACTACTGCCGTTCATCCTTATCTCCGCCCTTCTTCAACTGCAACTCCAAAACAATTGATGATCGACATAACAAGCTTAACCACTAAATGAATAGAATGAAAAATGGGGGGAAGATGATTAGTGCTGTATATGGGCAGGGAGATTAGTGTAGCCTAGGGTTGACTGTGAGAAATGAACCTCAATTGGAATTGATATTTTCCTTATATTTGTGGAATGGGGAAATAAAAACAGGTCACATGGTAGAATAATCATGATGCAAAAACAACTTTCATGATGATGCACAAAAATTATTATTTTGATGCAGAGTCTTCCACTATACATGGACACAGAAAGAAAGAAAGAAAGAAAGAAGGGAAGAAGAAGGGAAGGATGGCTTGGCTTATCATCATCATCATCACCACCAATATATGTCTATGAATATATGACCAAATGAAAGAGAAGAGAGATGGGAAAGGAATGTATGAACAGTAGTAAGAATGTTGACCCCCAACAAAAGTATAATTAAGTTGAACAACACACAGCCAATAAATGCATTGCAGCAAAGCGTCCTAATTATGATTACAAAAAAGTATCGTGTTCGAACCCTGAGAGAGAGGTCAGATAATAAGAAGACAGTACGTACGTACCGATGGATTGGCCGGCCGGGCAGGGAAAACCACCGGCGTCGGAGCAGCAGGCTGGATGGATGGATAGATCTCACGCACGTCGGCGGGAGAGATAAAGTTATAACTAGCTCCTCACTTCACTTTCCCACGATGACTCTAGTACTAGGAGGGCTACAACCCGCCAGTAGCTAGATAGCTGGTCGGTTTGGGTGATAACTACCTGATAAGAATATAGGTGGATCCTCGGGAATTGAACCCTCCACTCCCGAACCGAACAACCACTTTCTGGGGAAATGAGAAAAATGGAAGAAAGTAAAAGAAGATGGGAGAACAAGCGAGCACGGCGACTGTCCACACTGTCGGCTTGTCTCCCCAAAACAAATCCCTAGAGCAAAAAAGATGGAGGCGCGCGCGGAAAGCCAAAACAAGAAGCTAGAGGAACATAATAACCAGCAGACGGTGAGAAAAAGGGAGAGAGAGAGAACACAGATTTGAAGCAGAAGAAGCTAGGCAGGAAACCCTAATAAGGCAAAACAAACACACCTGTCACCAAAACCAGGATATGAGTGTAAGATGGAGTGTGGAGATAAACATAATCCCTCTCTCTCTCGGGCAAGCTATTTCCCTGTCAGTCTTTCATCATCCAATGCTTAATGGAAAGAAGAAGAGAGGAGTACTAATACTATATCATGAAAGGGTTTTGAAGAAGGGATGATGGGAAGGTATAATATTCATTTCCATATCTCTCTGCGTTTTCTTTTTGTTGTTGGAAAGTTGCATCAAAGGGATGGGTGACAGCAGCAGACCAGAAGAAGAGGAGTTTGGCTGATCGAGCGAGCTTAATCAGCTTCTGACTGCCTCTGAGAGAAGAAATCGAGTGAGAGAGAAATTAAAACTGACCAATCACCACACCATGCTTCAGTTCACTCATGTATATATACACAGATAACCCATTACATATATGAGCGCCTTATGCAATCTCTGGCCCAAAAACATTTAAAAAAAAAAAAAGAGACCAGTCTGAAATTGTGAAAGACAAGATGTGGTGTGGTGGTGGGGGTGGGATTGGTTGTGATGACGTAATGGAACAGCTACCAGCCAAAAAGCTACACCACTTTGTTTCCTTTTTATTTCATTCTAAATACCAAAGTTGAGAATATTTGAACCCCACCAGAGATTTAGTATTATGTTCAAATCAGCTAACACTATTGAAATTCATTAAAAAAAGGATAAAATTAGAAAATTTTAGATTAATATTAGAAAAATAATAATGTTGTGACTGAGATGGGGGAGAGTTGGTTGGTGAATGATCCGGAACTCAGCGAGCTAGGGTTGATACATATATAGGTACATCTCGTCTAATGAAGTTCAATGTGTATATCAAGGTCTTGGAGCTTTCATGGAGTTATTAGATTCGACGACGGACATGATTTCAGTAGAACTCCAAATGCCTAGCACGATAGACAAGATGTCAAGCATCACCAAGAGCTCACTACGTTGGCGTTGCAGGTGCGAAAATATCAAAAAATAATAAACCAACAATATAAGACGATTTCTCAATGGGGGGTAAGAGAAGGGATATAACTCAGCGGTAAAATGTCATCTTGGCATGATGGAAAACGGTAAATCAAATCTGATTTCATTTCTCTCCTAACTTGATCATTGGAAGATCTTTTCAATTTCATATACCGATCGACACCTCAAAATAATTCTTTCATCGCAACCACTTTTCTACTCAATCTTAAACGCAAATTTTCGAGGATCGACCCATCGATAACTGCTAAAACTAAACCTGGCCATTTTTCTCTCCCACATTGAATATGCATATTTACTATTTAGTGAAACAATAGCTGATGCAATTACTATCTTGTAAAAATTGATCATATGATATAGAGAGTAGATATATGCCAAAATCAACTGCACCAAACTTTTGCCCCAACAATCGACATGATTCAATCCAATTCCTCTTTCTATTGGATGGTTGTGGCCTGTGGGGTTGTTTGCTAATTTGTGCAGCTGAATGTGGAATGGTGGGCCCCCCATTACCCCAAAACTCCATTCCTAGTCCCAACCCATTTCCCTCCTTTTTCTTCAAAGTCTTTCTTCTTCTTCTTTTTCACTGTTGTGTGTGGTTAATTCAGAATGATGGTGTTGGATCTACTAACACATACACACTCTCTTTCTCTATCTAAACTGCTACTGTTGGTGCTCATTAACTTGCTCTCTTTGTCAAAATTCAGCTTCTCAATGCAATTGTAGCTTCTCTCATTATACCCTAGCCATTCATCCAATTAAAGGTAACTGTGTCTGAGGGTGAAACACAGATCGGGTGAGGTCAATCATTTACCTCATAATATATTTCATCTGCCTTCACTAACATTCACTTTTCATTATTACCGCTACTCTCTTTTTCCTTGATGAGAAAAGTTGATTAGACCGATGCTAATTTATTAGGGTGTGACATGATGGAATCACAAAGGGGGACAATGGAAAGTGTGATTAGTTTGGCTTTTGGGAAAATTGGGGTTTTCTAGATGAACATATTAGTACTACTACTACTGCAAAAACAGAAATTAGCCTGTTGAAATATTTACTGACGTGGGGATGAGGTCCTTTGTAAACTAACAGTACATATGAGCCCTCTTTCCACTCTTCATTTTTATCAATCCATCTATATATACTCTTAGGAAATACTCGTATTGCTTACTTTGATATTAATTCGTGTGAGATTGATCGAGCAGATCACCTCTCTCAAATGTCATTAACTATATACCATTAGGCAAATGCACCATACTATGAAACTTATTAGTATGAACGGTTTGGTTTGTAACGTTAGTTAGACTCACTTCGGAAAAAAAATATTAGGTTTGAATCCATTGATCCTGTCAACTCTCTTTAATGCATTCTCTCCCCGTCTCTTCGAATACACATTAAAAAAAGGACTCGTTTAGCTCCTTAATTAAGAAAAGAATCGTCTCGCAAGGACCAAATCTATCAACTTGTTGTACTATATCATAAATAAAGTAATTAAGGCCTCCATAATACAAGCATCTGCAAGCTCTGAAGACTCCTCTTGCGCTGCATCGATCAAACAGCATTGTCCCTTTGTTAAGAGCCAAATCTATCAACTTGTCATTGTACTATATCATAGATTAAGAGGTCCAAATGCAAAAATATTAAGCACGGTCAAGTACTAAATTATATATTAATTCCACACCCTTCTAATTACTTTTTGGTTCTACTACATTGCTACCTCGTGGCTCGTACGTTTCCCGTTCCCACTCATCATTGCAATTCATAACCCCGTTTTTAATATATATAATCCGTTCTGTCCCACTCAGGCTTCAGTAGTCTTCACGGCTAGCTCCTTCACCGTAACGCCGTTCCGTTGGTCCAGATTTTTGGCAACTCAATAAAATAAACGCGGAGTGCCGGAGTCCAAAGTCCAAACAAAGATGAAGCGATCCAGGTGTTCGCTCCCTATTGGTCCCTTGTCCCAAAAGCGACCAAGCTTTCACTCGAGTTCAAGCAGACCGACCAATCGGCTTGAGCAAAAAGTCTGCGTGAAGCTGGCCGGTTTGCTCGATCGGTTCGTGGGTTCGGGTCGTTGCTGGAGGGTGGGACCGGCGATAGGGTGTTGTGTGTACGTGGCGGCGGCTTGTTGTCTGGCGTGGGCTAGCCATTATCATTGAGCTCGCAACTTGCCGAGCTGTTACGTTCTTCGCGTGGGTCCCGCCGGCGAGCGAGCCAATGTGGTGGCGACTGGCGCGCGTGGTCCGCCCCCGTTTCCTATTAGGGTTTCCAAATGTGTTCGAGCGAGCGAGCGAGCGAGCGAGCTAGGGAATGAAGAGCGCGGCACGTGAGATTCTAGCCAGCTGGGGGGGAATAATATGAAACTGGGTCACTTTTCTGACTTTGTGGCTTCTAGAAATATTAGTGCACCCCCAAATCATGAGTGTTTAACAACTTATAGTTAGTGTCTCCAAAGGCTACCGCCACGATTATATCTTTTTTTTTTTTACTGCCGGAAATTATAAAGGTGAGGAACAACAGTTGATATAATTAATCCACTGGCTCGCTAGTAATTGTGTGTATGTGACTGATCAGTAACACGTACGCGTATGAATTACGATGTGTGCTAGCTAGTAGCTACATCCGTAAGTAGGAGGGACCGTAATTCGGAAGAAGATACAATTAGATGATAAAGAGGTCATAAACTAATGAGAAACTGACTGATTGGACTACAAATTGGGGTGGTATAATGAGCATATATTTCTAGAACCGTTCTCGATCTCAATTGTATAGCAAAAGAAGTAAAAAACATATTCAAGGTATTGCAAAAGAAGTGATGACTAGAACCTTACTAACCAATAATCCAATATAGAGGGACTGTTCGTGATGTAATGGCAATTATTAAAGACTAAAGTAGTAAAAGTAAGTCCCTCAACGTTT